TTTTTTAAACCATATTTCATTAACTCTCAAGGTGCAATTTTTTTTGTATTATTAAAGGCCACTGTCAGTCAGACTGATAAAATGATTTCTTCTTGCATCAGTACCAAGGTCATTTTGATTTTAGAAATGATAAATTCTAAAAAAATAAAATATGTTTCAGAATCAACAATATATTTTATGAGAGAGATAATTAACCTTTGTATTTTCTTTTAAGATTTTATTTATTTATTTGTCAGAGAGTGCGCGTGCGGGACTTGATCCCAGGACCCTGGGATCATGACCTGAACCAAAGGCAGGTGCTTAACCGACTGAGCCACCGGGTGTCCCAACCCTTGTATTTTTAAGGTATCATTATTTTGGGCTTTTGGATACATTTCATATGGATTATCTGCATCCTAGCTAAGATAGACTGGTTTTTAATTTTTCTGTCTACATTTTGGACCGCCATCTGAGAATACACACGGCAGATGGAGAAAGTGTAAATTAGGCTGTGAGGACAGTGTCCATGTCTGGGACAAATGAAGATGGCTCAGTCCTTCCCAGTGTCCTCCAGTCAGTCACCACTCCTACTGGTGGAGCAGCCCTGTCTGGAACATGCCAGATAAAGGCAGACATGATCTTTTTTCTGCCATGAACTCCTGGCAATTTTAGGAAGCTTATGGACACTTTCTAGAATGTCTTTTAAATTAAATCCCATTAAACTATATTTCAGTACAAGTTAAAAAAAATGCTCCTTGAAATTCCTGAGTCAACTTTCATCAGAGCCCTTGTTTTAAAAATAAATTTTACTGAAGTATAATTCTCACACATTGGCATGTATCTGTTTTAAGTATGTTTAAGTATATGTTTTGACAAATGTATGAACCCATTTAACTTCTGCAATGATCAAGATGTAGTTTTTCCAACATCCCTTATATTTATCCCGGTAAATTCCTCCTGTCCCAGGCCTAAGCAACTGCTTTCTGTGATGATATGTTAAATTCAAATTTTCTAGAACTTTATATAAGTGGAGTCATGTAATATTTAGTCTTTTGAGTCTTATTAATCACTCAGCATACTGTTTCAGACTTATCTATATTGTTCTGTGTATCAATAATTTTTTTCTTTTTTATTGCTGAGCAGTTATTTCATTATATGGATTGTCCCACCGTTTATCTTTTTACTGTATGGTGGATCCTAGGGTTGTCTCTAGTTTGGGGCTATTGTGAAAAAAGGTGCTATTGATATTCATATACATTAGGAGTCATTTTTTATTCCTCTTCAGGCATGGGCCAGGTCTGACCACTCTTGTATCCTGCCTTGGTTCTAAGAATCTTATAGTTCTTGCTTACCTACCCCTGCTCTTTGCTTGACTGTTGACACTGGCTAGTTAGAGCTAAATCTATCTTGAATAGGAGTTATCACCTTTTTAGCCTTGCTACTTCTCCGGTTCCACTTTCCAAACATGACTATAAAAAGAAAGAATTAAATATACCAGAATATAAAAGAGGAGGACAGTTGCCCTGGGCATGGAAATTTGAGGAGTAAATGGTACAGACTTCCAAACCAGTTTTCTATTCTAGGAAAGGTGGTGGGGAAAAATCTCTGCCTCTGGAGAAGGGTATGTCTGTCTTCAAATCCCATATTGGCCACACTTTATTAGTGTGAGAATTTGGATATATTATTTAACCTCACTGAGTTGTCTTTTTTTTCTAACCTGGAAAATTAATGTAAAACCCATTTTGCAAAATGTGAGCATTAAATGCATGCCTGCCCTCAACAAATATGTTTCGGAAGTATACATGTACCAGGCCCTGTCCTTGGTTCTGGGGATATAGCAGTGAGCAAAATAGCAGAAGTTCCTGACCTCATGGAGTTCACATTCTACCACGGGAGATAAAACAACAAAAACCAAAAGAATAAAAACCTGTGTTATTAGATGGTGGTACGTACCACGGAGAAAAACAGAACAGGGAAGGGAGATAGAAAAGGATGTGTTTGTTACTGCTAGGGTGTGAGCTGCTTAAGAGTAGAATATGATCTTTTTCCTGTATCGCTAGCATTTATCATAATGTAAGCTGTATATTAAGTGCTGCACACATGTTTCTTGAATGAAAAGAGTTACTGAATAAAAACCAGTGTTGAGGAGAGAAGCTTATCTCATGAAATCACTGTAATACTGCTTACCTGGACACATTTATGTGCTTCTAGACAGGTAATAATTATGTCAGCAAGAATGGTGCCCTTCCCTTCTCCTTGTCCTTACTGGTTCTGTAAGTCTCCTGGCCATTGTTATATTTTTTTCTTAGAAGTCAGAATGCCTTTAATGTACCCTCTTTATAATAATATACCCTTGGTCAAAAAAATTAACTATGTGCATTTTTTCCAGGCTTTTGCTGAATAAGTAATATGGAAAACAATTTAACAAATGGTTCAGTATGTCAATTTCATATTAAGGAGCATTGATATTCTACAATTTCTGGAAAACCAGCATACATATGCTACAAATATTAAAATATTTAGGGTAACGTTCAATGTCAAGAAATAATGTGCTTAGTATTTGGTTAATTGGAGTAAAAAAAATTGTGCAGTGTCATCTCATACATATAAAAGACAGTGCTTTTCTTCTTTGGGCTTTTCTACATTTTTAAAACCAAGTCTATATTATTAATTATTTCCTATTCCCCAAGTTTCTATTATTTTTAAAGTATCAAAAACAATATAAAAGAAATGAGAAAATTATGTTTCTATGATGGCTGCAGAGGGAGAGGGAGAAGCAGGCTCCCTGCTCAGCAGGGAGCCTGATGCAGGGCTCAGTCCCAGGACCAGGAATCTTGACCTGAGCCAAAGGCAGACGCTTAATCGACTGAACCACCCAGGTGCCTTCCTAAGGCTGTTTGGTGAACAAACTAGATAATGTGTGTAAAAATGCTTCCTGAATTATACTTGTGTAATTACAAAGCTCAATGCCTGTACCTTCTTCTACAAATAACACCAGGGCAGGAACCTTGTTTATGGCTATAACTCCAATACCCATCACAAAACATGTGTGCAATAAATATTTGGTAAGTATATGAATACTTTGTTTTAGTAACTGATAATTATTTCACAGAAGAAAACTGTATCCTCCAGTAATTTGATGGCACTACAATTCCTTCAGGTTAAAATCTGAATTCCTGTTATTCAAGATTTACTCAATCTAGCTGACATGTACTTTTCCAGCCCAGTAATATCATTAACACAACCTCTACTCAAATTCAAAAAAATACTATCTCCTGATTGATGCCTTCTTTCTTCTCTGTCCAAAGTCTTTAAAAACACCCAGCTGAAATAAAAAAGCCTTCCTTAGAACTATCTCAATCCTGATTTGACTTCTCAAACTGTTAATCTTAAAAAAAAAATTTTTTTTTTTTAAATATCTTACTCATTTTTGCATCTCTGTCCCCAGGGGCAGGGACAACCTTGAATATAGTGAATATCCAGTAAATATTTGCTGATTTAACTATTTACACAACACATCATTTGCTTACAAATTTTATTCCAAGGAAGGTAAATCAATTTCCTGAAACTCTTCCCTTACTCCATATGAAAGTGCAATTATTGTTCTGAGCAATCTTCAGAAAGTATTCTCTGCTATAAATGTAACCTGTCATAAAGTTATTGCAGTAATGTCCCAATGCACTAGAAAAACCAGGAACGGGCGGTTATTTTCTAATTTCAGTAATCCGTGTCATGCCTTATGGTTTGTTTTAACTCCAATTCCTAGGATTCCCCCGCCTGCCTACCCCGACCATCCGATCTCCTTCAATTAATAAGGTTGAAATAATGGCAATTGTCTTTTTGGATCTAAAATTCGAGCGCGCTTTATTCCCTAAATCATTTCATGTGTAAATTAGGTGCTTAAGCCTTAGTACATCATCTAAAGAGCTATATTTAGTGCTCAGTTTATTTAAAAAAGAGAGAGAGAGAGAAAGAGAGAGAGCGTGGCTGGGGAAATGCCCGGGTGTAGTTTAGTGGTGAGTGGAGCCAGGTGCAAGACTCTCAGAAATGTTTTTATGTGTCCCTGGCCAACTATCTCCGCACAAAACCCCGTTTATTTGACTGCGCTACTGCAGAACAGAGTTAACTCCAACGCCACTCAAACCAGCTTTGCACAGATTTAAAAATGCTTGAACAGGCGGCTCCTGATTTTTACCATAAAACGACCCAGCCGGATCCAAAGCAGATTTGTCACCCTACTTTAGAGCCTCTCGGGGGTCGTACAGAATTATGGCTCTGGATTTGAGCGCGGAACACACATACAAGCAAACCCACAGAGAAATACAGATTTGGCAACTGTGACAAAGCTTTGTTAAAACTTGCCCCTCGAGCCGCAGGGAGGGACTGGACACCCGGAGCCCGCTCAGCCCGAGCGCGGGCGGCAGGGCGTAATGCAGCCCGACTTTCCCCTCTCTTTGCTTTTCCTGTCACGGTAGTACAGAAATAGCAAAGCAAGGGCGGGAAGGCACCCGCCCGTATTTTGGGGGGTGGGGGTGGGGTGGTGTGTGTGTGGGTGTGTGTGTACGCGCGCCCGTAATTTTGGGGAGGGTGGTGTGTGTGCGTGTGTGTACGCGCGCCCGTCCGCGCGCCTCCCGCTCGCAAGGGAAGAGGTAAGGAGGAAGCGAGAACGACCAAGAACCCACCCCCAGGGAGCCGCCGCGCCTCTGCACCAGGGTTCGGGCGTCGTGCTCCAGCCACTTCCAGAACGCTCTCAGCCGCTGCTGCAGACCCCGCCCCCTGCCGGGGTTTCCCCGCCACCCGCACTCATTTGCATGGCGCTTCCCCTCCCCCGCTGCCATTGGCTGGCGTTGCGCCCCGCCCACTGCCCCTCCACCACGGCAGGGTTCCGTCCCCGAGCCGCCCGGAGCTGCGGGCAGCGGGCGGACTGTTAAACCGCGGCGGCGGCCGGGGCGGGAGCGGGGCGCGCTCTGGAGACGAGTCAGCGGCGCCCCGGGTGGGGGGGAGGCGGGCGGGCAGCTAGAGATCACCTCAGCAGCCCCCACCACGGCCGGACCGAAGGTGCGGCGGCGGAGGGGAGCCAGGGCGCCCCAGCAGGCGAGTGGCCGGCGTCTCAGCGGCGGGCTGAGGGGGGTGGGTCTCCTCTGCCGGGGACGGCGGCGGGCGGGGAGGGGAGAGCGGAAAAGACCGCCGGGTGGACTTGCGGGCCAGGCAGCCGAACGGCAGCCCCTTCGCGTCCCGAATCCTGTGGGCTGTTGGACTCTGGGTCCCGGCACCGGATCGCGCTCTAGGGCAGGGGTCGGACGGCAGCCAAATTTAAACGGCTAAACCTAACAGCCTTGGCAGAAGCTGAGGGGAGGGGAGAGGAGGAGTGGAGGGAGGGGTGGGGGCGGACCTAGGAGTGGTCACGTGGAGTCAGGGGCGGGGCTTGGCAGGCCTCCCTTTTGTTTTGGCTGGCGCGTGCGCAGACGGCAGAACACGTGGTCTGCTGGGCCCGCCCCTTGTTTTAGCGGCCGCACCTTCTCGGGTGCGGTTGTGGTGTTTGCTGTTTTGGGGAAGCTCTGAAGCGGAGGCGTCTGTGTTGGATGCGACCCTTGTTTTCTTTATTTTATGCTTTATTTCAGGCAACGTTGTGTTGGTTTTCAGAATTAGATGGGGTGGAGAGGAGTCTAGAGAATAAGGAATGGTGTTTCCAAGTTTGTGTCTCTTCTTGGCATTCTGAAGGGACCGACGCTGCAGGAAAATTTGAGGATGTGTGCTGATTAGTAGCAAGAAAAAGAAGGCTGTTTTCTGGTCATTAAAGAAAGGAAGAGGTTAGCTTTACATCCAAGAAGGGAGACACTGGGATGGACCTTCTTGTCTTTCACTTTGAAAGGATTAGTTTTTGGTTGGTTCCCTGCCGGCTCTGCTGCGCAGATCCACTCCACCCTTTACCTCCGATCAGCTGTGAGCCGCGGGGCTGGGGGCTGGGGGTGTTGGAGATTGATTTTTTTTTTTTTTTTTTTTAACTGAGGGAAGCACATTCCTTTTTGATTCCCCAAACTCTAGTCAGCTGGTGAGATTTAAAACTGTAACTTCTTTCGTCTTACTCAGCTGGCTTAACTTCGCGCTTAGTTTGATTCTGTAGGAATGTTTTTAAAATACAGGATGGGGCAGTTTTGTTACCAACTCAACCTTTGTGATATGTTTACCAATACTGCAGACAAAACTGACAGTGTTTTTGACTAGGAGAAAGTGGCTTTAAAAATAATTCACTCTTGGAGAAAAACCTGGTGTTCTGGAATGTGGAGTGCTTGAAAAAGAGGTTTAGCTTTGAGTGGTTTCTACTGTTTTCCAATTCTCAACTGGCCGTTTCCTTGGGCAAGTCACAACCCCTCTTTTCTCGATGTTTGTTTCGTCTTGTAAATAGTTTCATAATACTGTCCCTGCTTTAAGAGGTTGTTATGAGAATTAAATACCTTGTGTTAGTAAAAGTAGTTTACAATTTTTACCAACACTGCAAAAATACAGAAATTGCTAAGTGACAGGGTTTATAGTAAAAGTAATTTTTTAAAAATAATCCAGCATCTTGGAAGAGTAAAAACTGAGTGAATCATGAAATAGGATATATTTGAATATCTTCAAAATCTATTGTAGTGACTATTATCTTTGATTCTGTTTTCACCTAGTTATTCAGATCAGTGTCAAGGTTGCCATCATTTATTTGTAGATAGATTATCATTACTTCTCTTCCCCAGTGCTTCTAGACTGTTTTTAGATGAAATTTTTCTTAATCCACCCCAATTCTATCACATTTATTTTTTACATTTATCTTTTGCGTGTATATAATATATGACTTTCAAATAACAATTGCTTATTTTCTTGAATAATCTAAAAATAATTTGGAAAATAAAGATGAGTGCAAATAACAATACAGTTTGCATTTCTAAATATTTATGTGTATTTGTGAATTTTTCCTATAACGGGGTTCATGTGTTATATTTTCATTTAATTCTACCTCATAAACGTTCCCATGTCATTAATCTTTGAAAAATTATATTTGGCTGCTTAAACTTGTATCATGAAAATATATTCTAAATTTTTCCTATAGGTAGATGTTTGGGATTTTTTGATGTTTTGCTAATATATAAACTTCATGACAGAGAATTGCCTTTTACATAAATCTTAGAGATTTTTTTTTCCCCTTAGATTTGTAAAATAAATTACTAGGTCAGAGTCTGGGATTGTGTGTGTGTTTAAGGCTCTTGAACATCATCAAACTACCTTTCAGAATGTTGTATGAATTCATACTCGTATATGAGCCAGGCTCACATTATGTCCTTGTTCATCATCTAGTGTTAGTATTGAAAGAGAAAACCTTGCTTTAATTTGCATTAAAATTTTTCCACTTATGTCTGTGATATATCTATTTTCTTAATTTACTGTAAGCTGCTTCAAGGAGAACAATATATTTCGTATATGACATGTTGCAAATCACAAAGTGGGTGCTCAATGAATACTTGCCAATTGGCTTATTAATATTTACCCTTTTGACCTCTGGAAGATCAGGAAGTGCTGTCTTGCTTTTTTGTCTTACTCGGTTTACCAGTACGTTGTTGGCAATATACCTTTATTGTTGATTCATTACTTTGAGTACTTCTGCCTTCAGTTCAGATAGGGGCTTCACGGATCTCACAGTTGTCTACTAAAAGGTCCGGTGACTTCTCATGTTCACCTGCTGCATTATCCAAGAGTTTTATCCAGTTTTTTATGCCATTTGTCATGATAAACTATTTCATTTCTTTTCGTCATTTACCTATCTTGTATGGAATTTCACTTACAGATTTCACTCTGATCATTCTAGTTTCACGTGTAGCCTTTTCTGTGTAATTTTTAAAAAACCTGTCTAAAGTTCCTTTGTTTTATTATTTACATTGTTCCTGACAGTCCACCTATTACTGCCTATAATATCTTTTACTGCCTTTAACTTAACCATGTAAACTTTGTATGTCATCTGTAATTTTTATTTTCATTTATTCAGTTATTTTCCTTTCATGTCCTTTTGTATTAGTCTGTACAGTTTTAGATTGTAAAGGAGGCAGAAAGCTTTTTTTTTCGGGTTTAGAATTGTGTGAAGGATTGTTTACCAGTTGGGTTTCACAGGTTATAAACTTCAAGGAGTGGGGCTTGTTGCAAGAGAGTGACAGGTCATAGGGAATTTGCAACCCATTTATTGACTTTGAAGCATATCATCTTATACCTTTATCCTAAAAGTCCTGACTGCATTGTGGGACTAAAAGGGAACACTGTACATAAGGAGGACTGAATCGCCAGTACCATCTTACATTACTTTCTCTATATTCAATTTCAAAAGGCGAAGAAGGTGTATTATTTCCACAAGATTTCTATTTGTTTTTCCTTTTAAATTTTGTCTTAAGAGAGATTTCAGTGAATTGGGCTCCATATTGTATGTAGGATAAATAACCAGCAAATGTTAATAAAAATGGTAATATTGTACTTGCCTGTGGACAGTCTGTAATGAAAATCTGAAGACAATAATGAAAGTCTTTAATACTTGGTAATATGTTTAGGTTTTGGAAGCACATTTTATTTCTGTATGGATGTGACAGTTCTCTAAGTATTGCAGAACGGAGAGAAAATGCATTCATTTATAATATTGAGGTTTTGTTAATATTTGTAATGAGCTTTGTATTATCTGGTTTCGGTCCTATAAGACCAAGAATTCTCAAGCATGTTTTTCGAAGTAATTTTTTAAAAAAATTTTTGTGTAGATCATTAATCAGTGTTTAACAACATGAAATTAAATTGGAGCAAATATAGTATACTTCAAATGTACATTTCTGGATCCAAGCAGATGTACACACACACAAAAACAACTGTTCATTTATATTCCTGTGAGTCATGCACTTATAACTGAATAGTAATAATTCTGCTTGAAGTATGATCTGTTTGATGTATTATGTGGCCACCCAAGTGGCTTTATCTTTAATTAAATTCCTTTAGTCTTCAAAGAGAATTCCTTTTTAGGGATAGTTTTCAAAGTGGAAGAAGTTCTTGCTGTAAACATTACTGAGTACAAAGTACTGAGCCAACTGTACCCTGGTCATGCCAATTACTGCAGTGTTTTCTGCTGTAAATTGAGAAAGCCCATATTTAACAAGGAAATCTTGAAAACATGACACTTTGAAAATGAAAACATACACATTTGTATTTATACCTTCCATTAATTCCTATATATTTGAAGAGTAATACTATACCAGTGTAAACTCTTCTCTCATTACTTCTATTGTTTTAATTAGATTTTTCCTTTGAGTTACAAATTAACAATTTGAGTCTTATATTTTAGTAATGTTTGAAATGCCTCTCATACTTTGCTGGGGGAATTTCTTTTTTTCTTATTCTTCCTCTGACTGTTATTCTAATGGATCAGATGTCTGAAACACATTTAAGTTGTAACTGTGGAAATAATTTTTGTCCCTACGTCAGGCTTGTCCCCTCTCTCAAAATTCTGTTGGCCATTTTTATTGCCTAAAACTTAAGGTTGTATCTGCCTTCATGATAATGCAGTTCCTAGTCTGTGTTATTACATTTAAGAGAATTGGGATTATCCAGATTCCAGTTGAAAGAGTAAATTTAATATTCACGGTGGATTTGAATAGGCTATTTTCCATGGACTGTATGGAATATACCAACCCATGCTAGAATATAAATCATAGTTAAAATCTGGAGCAGTACTTTAGGGGGTGGACAAATCAGATTTGGCCTTTAATTTTTAATGTTAATTTTCAGGAGGAAGGGTGGTTCTTATCTAAATTATCTAGATTATCAGTTTCAATTCTGAAGATAGACTAGCTTAGCAAACTTTTGATTTTTTTTTTTTTTTAGAATGTATGCCAAAAATTATTTGGCACATATGACTTACATATTGTAAAGACCTGATTTACATGTCGGGATCAACTCAGTGGTAATTGACATCATAATTATCTCACTATGTACATGCAATTTTTGAGGGATGACGTAATATTTCTGTATCTCATGATGTCTGCAGGCCCATTTTACACTTAATGCTAAATTCATAAATATGTATGATTCATAAA